CCATCAAGCACAAAATAGCATTGAATGGCTATCTCACTTGAACAACACCTCTGTTACTATGCATAGTATAGTTTGTACAGTCTGCTTAAGTAATCCATAATGAAATTGGATGAGCCTCAGTTTGGGGTTCTGTTTATTCTTTTTGCCCTTAAGGTATAAGATTAAGCTTGTCAAATAAAAGAAATGGAATGGGTTTAAACCCCTCTCGCCCCCAAAGACAGTGAGATTCAGCCAAAATAACAGATAAGATTGTTTTTAAGCTGCTTTAGAAACAAGACAGTGCTACTTCATTAGTGAAAGTGTGACTGGCAGCTTTTGTAACTCTGGCTCTGTGAAAATATAAGAGAGGAAGCCATAAAAATAATGAGGACTATAAGTAAAATATAACCAGAGAGAATATACTTTTATATTATGATTTGCCTTTAGACTAGGATTCAGTGTCTGTCCTTCATAACGTTAGAATAAACCTTAGGTCCAGATTCAGTTCACTCATTTTAATCACCTTTCCCCATTCTCTCGTGCAGAACAATGTATTTTGTTTCTTCTCTCAGAAGTTGATGGATTATTGATATAAGATATCTTTGATGCCTTGAATTTGATGCCTATGTTGATTCTAGTCAAAGACAAAGGTATTGCTACTTTGAGGTTCTGCAGATTTCTTTGTATGACAGGATTTGGATTGCAAAAGAAGAAGAAAAGGATGCACATTTTGTCACATGTTGAAAAACTTAAATCTTTGAAGTTACTGTAGAGGTACTAATTATTGGAACCAGCATTTTCCAAACTGTTTATTTTGCCACATGTTCCAGGGGGAAAAAAGTACTCTTAGGTGGAATGCCTGATGATTGAAATGAGTACCATATTCTGAGGATTAAATGTCCTTAAAGATATATTCTCAAAAATGGATGTAAACATGTGTGTATATGTATGTACGTGTGTATATATAAATATATATGTTGTGTATATCCTTTTGGATTTCATCTTTTGGCTTTTTATCCTGCATTTCTACTGCTATGCAGACATTACTTGTTGATAAGAATGTAAGAAGACTCTATAAACAGGAATCAAAATTGTTCAATGAAGTCTTCGTGCAAGAGAACACACTGCACACAATCAACAGGAACTTAAAGGATTCCCCTCACACCAGGAAGAATACTTGTTAAATGCCTTCCTAAAATGGCCAACAAGTTTTGCATTTAATTTCTTGTTTATCATTCCTGGTTTAAATTTTCTCTCCTTCTCTCTTCTCCTCTCTCTCTCCACTCCTCCCTCCCCCATTCCCTTCTCCCCTCTCCCTCCCTTTCCTATTCCCATCTCCCTTCTCTCTCTTTCCCATTCCCCTCTCCCCCTCTCTCCCTCCCTCCCTCCCTCTCTTCTTCCTTCCATCAAACCCAGAGCCTCACACGTTAGGCCAGTGCTTGATCTGGTTTAAATTTCTTCCTTTCCATTTTACATTGAATAAAATAGTTTTTATACTATCCTAAATAGAGAAGCAAACGAAATGGTTTCATAGTTAAATTACTGGGATTTAACTATGGAATTACTGGGATGTCCTAGTACTTTGTTCAAGTGAAATATTCAACAGATGATAACTGGACTAATACTAGGTATGGGCTTAATAATCCTGTGATCAAGTGTTTACAACCATTTGCTTATTAATTGATAGGATTGCAAAGGAAGGCAAGTTCAGATCGTTGGTTTAAATTAAGGCTATTGTTTTGAGGGAATCAAAAGAGTTTGGTAGTGAAGTTGTGAACTCTATGCATCTTTAATTAATTTAGTCTGATATCTCTTCAGTCCTTGTTCCATGTTAACAATGAATTACACCACAGAGGAATCTTGGCCCCTCTTTCAGAGTTTGCTCTCTGAATTCATATTACTATGATCACTTATTACATTCAGTAAAGACACTGAATTTGTAAATAGATCCTTTTTGAGCTTTGAGGAATATTAAATAATCTACATTCTTAGAATCATTTTGCTCAGTGAAATTATGTTTTAACAAGGGTTAGAAATTAAGAGAATTAAAATTGAAAACACATAAAAATGTATTTTCCCAAAAATATTTATTACATTTTCTTTGGGGAGGGGATGTGTGCATGTGTAATAAATATCAAAGAAATGGCGACTTGTCTGTTGACCTTAAAGTGGAAAAATTCCAGCAAGAAAGACAGAAGTGAGCAACGAGAGAATATTTCCAAAAGTATCCTTCTTAAAGTTGCCTCTGCTTCTGCCCAGCTGCATTAGCTTGGAAGGAACATGTACTTTAGGGTGCCATGTACCTTGTCTTTCTCAAAACTAGGCAATTCTGGTTTTGTAGGACTGATCAAGTTCTCTTGTGTTTGTTCATCATCAAAACTCCCTCTTGCCTCAAAAGGCAACTTTGTACCAGGCGTGATAGTGCACACCTAAAATCCCAGCCCTTGGGATGCTGAGGCAGTAGGGGGATCACAAGGTTGAGGCCAGCCTGGGCTACAGCGTGAGACTTTTTCTCAGCTTCCCACCCCGAAAAACCACAAAAACCAAAAAAGGTGAGCTTACATTTGACTCTTTAGCCTCAGCTCCTGATACAACAGCAATGTTCCTAAGCACCCACGTTGATCTCCAAAGTCTGTATCCCCTTTTCTTGGCAAGAATTTGAGTCTTCCAATATTCATATTGAAAACTGTACTCTTTGTATATGTAGAGCAGTTGGCACAAAGGAAAAGGGACTTATATGTCTGACTCCATTCAAGAAGCCACACAACTTAACATGAAGAAAGGCAGGTATACCAGTTATGTCTGCAGTTAACTGTTTACGGCCTATCAACACTGACCAAAGTAGTCTTTGCCTGGGAGCTCACTACACCTATAACCTTGGGAAATTGCCTTAACAATAAAACGTAGTAGTCAGTGTGTCTTCCTTTTGTTTAAAAAGCATATCTACAGACTACATATTTGTTGTGAGTTTATGACAGGACATCTCAAGTGCAAAGTACTCTCCTCTCCCTTCTGCAACAGGTGGTCACACAAACATACACAGGAAGACCTTTCATTTCTATTTCAACCAGAGCTCTGTAGTGTCTTGCCATAATCTGTCTGTCTGTCTGTATATCTAGCTACGCACACATACATGTTCTTGCATACACGTAGTAGCTGTGCGTTTTGTTGACTTGAACCTTCCCTTGCAACAATTGGCTTAATAATAGCCCGTTTGTCGTACCTTTCTAGGTGCAGGTAATAATAATTGATAGCCAGTTTTTAGTTTCACAGTGGGCCTAATTTTAGAAATCACTAGATTAAAAAAAAGGGAAGCAAAGGGAATATCGAGATCATGTTTTAGTGATATAATTTCATGCTCTTTCTAATACAGGCTAAGTATACCTTATCTGAAAGGCTTGGGACCAGAACTGCTTTAGATTTCAGGGTTATTTTTTTTAATTTTGAAATTTTTATCTTTGGGATAGCACCCGAATTTTTAGACGAAATGTATTTGTTTCATATACATTTTGTATCCATGGTGTGGAAATTTCCACTTGAGTATCATGTTAGTGCTCAAAAAGTCTTGGTTTTGGAGCCTTTGGATTTGAGGTTTCCAAATTAGGGATGTGCCGTTTATACTGTGCTAGACTCTACGCTATTTACACACATTATCTCAAATCCTCAGAGCAACCCTGTAAGGTTGGTGCTCTTACTTATCTCCTATTTACAGATGAGGAACTTGGGGCTCAGAGAAATTACACAGTATGCCCAAAGACATTCTGCCATTAAGTGGAAGTGTCAAAAGTTGAACTTAATGCTCTAACTCCAAAGTCTATGCTTAGAACCCTCATGGTTAGACTAGAGAGGTATAGAAATGGCTTGACTGGGGGTCTTTCACGGTGAGTTAGCGCCTAGAACTGGGCACTGGATATCAATTGGCTTGTGAGTTACAGAATTCTACATGGTCAGCAGTGGAGGGCTGAAAGCATGTCTGTGCAGGATAAGTCAGCGTGGCACAGTATTACCAGTAATGGCATCCCCAACAGCTTCCCACTTTTAAAAGCTTTATCATGGTGAGGCAATTTAATAATGGCAGCTCCTGATACTTTTCTGAGAATGTTTTCTTTAGGTTTTAATGTACCTACATGAATGCACGGAGCCTATCTCTAGCACATTTTAAACCGCAAGCTAATTTTTCCTTCATATTTGACCCCCTGAGGACTTCTCCATGCTATTCTTCCTGTCCCACTTGCTGGTCAGCACACTTTGCTATGAGTCAGCCGTATTTCTAGGTACTGAGGATATGACGTTATCTTCATCAAGTATTCAAGTGAATTTTATTATTAAGGTAAGGGAGCTAGGTTCTTTTCTATAAATTGAGCATCACAAAACATCATTATATATTTTTTGCCTGAGATGTCCTTCTTTAGCCTAATCCTATTGTTTTAAAATGCCTTGACTTATATAGTGAAAAAGTAGAAACAGCCCACATATCCGTCAGTGGATGACCAGGTACACAGCATGGCGTGCCCACACAATGGAATATTGTTCAGAATTAAAAAGAAATGATGCTAGAATGTGAGTGAACCTTGAAAACATTACCCAGTCACAAAAAAGCCACTCACCTGGAATGCTCAGAATGGACAGATCAATGAACACAGAAAGCACATTACTGGTGTAGGGATGGAGGGTGAGAGGAGGGCTAACGTAGATTTACATTCTTTGGAGGGAGGATGAAAACTGTATAGGATTGACCGTGTTATGTCTGCAGATATCTGTAAGTATACTAAAATCCTTGACTTGTACTTTTCTAAACGACAAATTATATGATATGGGTATTACATCTAAATAAAACTATTATAGATTGTATGAAGATACGATGAAATTCATATTACTCCCATTTTAAGAATTATAATGTTAAGTTTTAACAGCTAAACCAGAGGAGTTGTTGGTCTGTTTTTAAAGAGAAGCAATGGATTGGAATAGCTCTGGCCTCCCACTTGTTCTGTGACCTTTATGGGGGAAAAGTGATTTCTTACCTCAAATCCTGCATTGACCATCTCCATTCTTCGGGGGGGGGGCTCCCTTTTGGTCCCACCATATACCTCAGCACTTTGCCATGTTGCCTTACATGTGCACCAAATGTTGGTTTTCCAGTCATCTCATACTGTGCCTTCTATGTAGCCAGCATTTACCACTTCCATTGGCTTACAAGTATTTGCTGAGAACTTACTGATGTGACTACTGAGCCAGACACTGCAGATAAGATACACCCTTCAGGCGCTCATGTCAGGCAGACAGCTAAGCAGCAGTTCTGCTATAAGTGATGAGTGTCGAGATGGAGATGGGCTGACATGTTTGGTGGTGAGGCTGAAAAACCTCGAGTCCTCTTATTCCTTGTCTCGATCTAGTTCATTTATGCAGGTGGTCTGCACATCCTATTTGGGACATTCACCCCTACATTTGAACACATTCAATAACAAGACTCTCATTTTGTACTAAGACAATGAAGTTAACCTGTATTTTACCAATATACTAATGCCAATGTATTTTGACAACAAATATGTGATACATATTTTATTTGTAAATAAAGCTTAAGAAAGCAGTTATTAATATTGCTCAGCACATTGATAAATTATTTGATATCTTAATAAAACTTTGGATAACCTTTATGTTTTATAAGAAGTATTTACATTCTGCAGGTGTCTGAGTCCCTGATAATAAGCCTTTAAGTTTTAGGTTATATCTATGCATTTTTTGTGCCCAGGAAAAGCAGTACAGAATAGTGATTGACAGCAAACGTTCTGGAACATACCTGAATTTGATCCCATCTCTTCTGCTACATGACCTTGAACCAAATTCCTTAATTTTTTTTGTCAGTTTCTTATCTGTAAAAATGAGGACAATAATGGAACTTGCATCACAGATTATTATGAGAGTAAATAACTTCATATGTGTGAGAGTGCTAAGAACAGTACCTGGCACATAGTAAAAGCAATGTGCTTATTTGCTGTTATTTTTTATTTGTTTGAAATTTCATGCCTTGTTAGTCTGTTCTTCAAAAATCACACATAGTCACCTTTAAATGACATTAACATCACTGGGGATTTGATGTGCAGATTTCTCTTATCAAACTAAAAGCCAATTAGATTCTCAAGTGTCTGTACTCTGAAACAGGAAACCAAATTTGACATTCCTTTCTATTTTACATGACCACAGAGTTTAGAAGTCAAACGCCCATCTCCTGTCAGTCAGCTCGATTAACTCTGTAACTCACATGCTGTCTCATGCTGAAAGCTCAGTGTTTTTAGGATGGTTGATGCATAGTTTAAAATCCTTAAGAAACAAAGCATACAACCAGGTTGCATTTATACTTCTTGATTGAATTGATAGTCTGTTTTCCAGCCCTGTTATTTTTCTTTCTTAGTCAGCCATAGTATCATTAGCCAGTATGCTATCTAGGGTCCAAAATTTAACGATGGGCTGGTGGAGTGGCTCAAGTGATAGAGCGCCTGCCTAGCAAGCATGAGGCCCTGAGTTCAAACCCCAGTACCGACAAAAAAGAGAGAGAGAGAGAGAGAGAGAGAGAGAGCGCGCAATATATTTATTGCTGACAAATGTTTTTGGCAGCATTTCAGAGTTTTACTTGGCCAAAGCAATTGCCATATACAAAGTCATTCAGAATAATAGCAAATTAATATTGACTTACTGTTTCCTCCTTAGTGTAGGTTATCATTAACTTTTAATGTTTCTATATTGTTTCACATTTGCCATTCTCAGTACAAGATGAGATAGTCATTTTCAGAATTAAGCACATTAATAAAAGGTAAAAGCAGCAAAAAGGAATGATGAAACTAGTTTGGCACCTCTTGGTGCAGCTCAGTCCAGGGTCCGGTACATCCACTTTGTTCTTGTAGCCTTTGTGGAGCAAGCTGTTAACAGTGTCCACTTTTGTCATTTAATGTAGCATATTAATGTGCCCACAAGAAAATGTCCTCAGTGTCAAGAAGTAAATGAGTACACTGTGCTTCTCGAGGATTGTTACTGATGTTTAATCAGAGGCTCATTTATATAGGGGCCAGGGATGTGACTCAGGGACAGAACACTTGCCTCGCATGAGAGAGGCCCTGGGATCCATCCTCTGCACTGCCAGAACTAACCGACCAACCAAACAAAAGCAAACGTAAAGAAAAAACCCAGTTCCTAAAAGAAAATTCACAAGCAAGTAAGTTGAGTTTTAAAAGTTACCCACAAATAGCTTCTATAGCTTTATGTAATTATCTGTAGAAATCTTCATGTGTTCAGGACTAGCTCTCCAGAGCTTTTATCAGGATAAATAAACACAAGCAACAATAACCAGTTCCCTGCATTTCCTAATCATTGCATGCCTATTTTAGACATTAGGAGGGCCCTGTCTCTTCCTAGGAAGCCAAGCTGTGATTTGTCCTTTTTGACTCCCTGGAAAATCTAATCCTCCCTCTTGCTCATTGACTCAAATCCAGCTAGTCTCTGTATATTCCTTCACGTTGTGCGTGTGACGTGGAGGGATTTGAATGTGTGGTGTGCATTAGCAAGCACCTAACACAAAGTAGCAGTGTGATATTCCCCTAGTGTGCATCAGTGCATTCACGTTGGAACTGATAGGTTAAATGGAAAGCGTCCAGAGTACCCTTTCCACTGCTCACTCCTGGACATTCCCATAAATCAGCAATAAAAATGGCAACACCCAGCAGAAGGACGTGATTCTCATCTGGCAATGCTTGTGCTGCGAATGTTGTTCAATAATTTCAATATCACCCTTGGCTCACGGCCTCCAGTGAACTCCATCTCTCCTGTCCCAACACACACGCCATTGGCGCTCTGGACCCTTCACAGTCGTACTGGTGGCTTCCTCACTGTCAGGATACTCTGAAAAGTGTCATGTCCCATTAGAGATGAAACACTACTTCCAGACCTCAGCTTCTGCCACATACCATAGAGCTCATGAAGGCCAGATCCTAAAGCTTTTCATCCATACTCATAGGGAGCCTGCCGGGAAGAGCTCCTGGTAGTTTAAAGCACAATGAAACACAGCTTACGCAGAGCAATTGTTTGCTACATCTTATTTGATTGAATCTGGTTTCTCAAACCATAGAAAATGTAATCAGCATGTTTGCGAGGGCTTAATAGAGGCAGTTGTACCCAAAAGTCATAGCCAATGAAAAGGTGAGAGAGGAGAAAGACCATCAAACTATAAATTTGAAGTCTGCTAATACTCCATTTAACAGAGTGCCCAGAAATGTGTCAAGGGACACGGTTTCGTTCTAATTGTGGCCTAGAAATTTCAGGAAAAGCTTAACTTGTTCTTACTGTCCTGTATCTAAGCGGTAGGTGGAACAATGCTTTATAATGCATTTCCAAAAAGTTTCTGTCCAGAGTGATAAAAAGAGACAAATATTAATATATAAAGATTTTTTTAATTTAATTTTTACTGATCCTGTCCTTGCCTGGCATTTTTCTGATAACTAAAGAGTTACTGTATCAAGACCTTAATGTGAAGTTACGGGCTTTTGTGATTTTTGTCATAGAAATTTGGGTGTTGAAATTGTTTTAGGACTATAAGACTGGCCTTGTGACTACTATAGGTTGACTATCCTTTATTCAAAGTGTTTGGAATTTGAGGATATTTGCATATACATAACGTGATATCTTGGGGATGGCACCCAAGTCTAAACACAAAGTTCGTTTATGTTTCCTATATACCTTATACACATGGCCTGAAAGTAATTTTGTACATTGTTTTTAGTAAATTTGTACATGAAACCAAGTCCGACTCCTGTGGGATTTCCGACTTGCGGTGTCATGTTGGCACTGACAACATTTCAGTTTTGGAGCTTTTCAGATTTTGAGTTTTTAGTTCAGGGATGCTCAACTCCTATCAGCTTTTGATGAAAACACTTCCCAGCTCATAGAGTTTGTGGGGTGAAAAGCTACAAAGCATTAATCTGCGGTGTCCCTTCTCTAATGAAATGTCATTGAAGAATTATTAGATATGTCTCTAATAAAAATGGTATAAGGGGACATGTTGAAAAGTCTAAAATGAACTAGTGTCACTATGGCAATTTTACATGTACATCTTTTATTTTTTCATAAATATTCATTAGTATTTGATTTTCCATTGACACCAGAAATGCTCCAGAATACCTTGTGCATTATTTAGTAAAAGAATAATAAAGAGGAAGAACACTAAAATTTCTTGGGGTTTTGAGACATCAATAACACTTAGCTTATGTGAATTTCCCCTTGCATATGAGAAGTTCCAAGTGTCACAGTGCCCTGCTATACAAACGGAAATTCCATTCACAGTGCACTGAAATGCGTGCTTACCTGCGTACGCATGCGTGCTTTGTGCTTCTATGCACCTGCAACACATTCAAAGTGTGTAATAGTTCAACATAGGCTAATGGAATATCTTTGAACACTTGCTGTTAGAAATACAGAAGAATGATGTGTAATTTACATATCCGTTATTTTCATGTAAATAAACGCTTTCAAAGCATTTGAAAACACTGGTTTCTCTCTAGTATTTTATGCTCTGCATCTTACTTCATGTCTAATTTGTATAAAAGCATTGGCACTACCATAACAAAATAAATATATAGTACCTCATACAAAGTATTGTAAATAGGTTTTCTATGGGCAAAAACATGCCCAAAGTGATTTACCACAGGCAGGCGTTTTGATCGGTTCCGTATTCGAATCCAGTATTGGAGCTAACACATGTTTGAAAACCTCCCACGTGCTCAGCACCAGCGAGTCTGTTTAGGTTCCCCTTTTCATGCCTTACTCCCTTCCCCTCTCCTCTTGAATCCTGCTTTATCATTTTGCTTTCATCTGCTTTTAGAAAACGCATTTCCTTTGGATTAGGGCATTTTAAGAACATGCTCTTCTTACCTCTGCTTAGCATAAGAAGTGTACTTTTTTGTGATTCCATCTTTGCTTGATTCAGCACCATTCCACTTATCACTAATGGTCTTCCCGATTTTTCTGTGGGCACGAATAAATTAGCAAAGAAACGGCATATGGAATTAGTGATTTTCTGGGATTTCAAGTCTCACTTTTGAGTCCCACTAGATGTGAAAATCAAAAGACTTAGTTTTTCAAACTCTGTGATTGTGAGGAGCAGATTATCTAGATTTTAGCTTAGCATAAGACATTAACTTTGAATTGTCATTACAGGATCTTATTTTACTTCTTAGTGCTGTGTGTCATTCCATTTTCTGAACTATTAAAAGGAACCTATTTGATCTCCATAGTCAGTAAGAA